AGAAAATTTAAACAGACAAGCAAATGAGGACATTTTTCTAAATGCTTCTTGCTAGCTAACCATGGAATATATGAACACACTAGAGGCCCACTGCATGACATTCATGCACTCTGGGGGATCCCTCAGCCTGGCCTGTGCCCTCTCACAGTCTAGGAGCCCTCGGGGGATGTCCGACTGCCATGGAAACAAGAGAGGCTCCCGCCACCACCACTGTGCTCGCCAGCTGTGAGCCCGGCCTCTGGCTGAGTGACGCTCCCCCTGTGGGAGCGCACTGATCATCAGGGGGCAGCTCCTGTGTTGAGCATCTGCCTTCTGGTGGTCAGTGTGCATCATAGCAACCAGTCGTTCTGCCGTTTGGTCGATTTGCATAATAGCCTTTTATTATATATGATGAAAAATGATAATGGACATTATCATTCAGGCATTTATCCATTCATTTAGCAAACTGTTTGAACACTTACTATGCAGCATGTGGTATACATGATGTAAGGAACTAGTCATAAGTAAACAAAATCTTCCCAAACAAAATTTTGATTGCAGTTTAAACATGGACATAATTATTATTACTTTAATGTACTGAATATAAAGTTGGAACTGAGGGAATTTTTTTAAGCATTGGGGTAAAGATTAGGCTAGATGACAGATAAGGGGTCTGAGTAAATCACATCAAATCCTGTAACATTTTACCTACTAAACATCAATCAGTCATAAACCTGATTAGGTTATGAAATTAAGTGTCCTAACAGTAAGGATTTATATTTTGTGACAGCCCATATTTCTAAGAATTGTTTTGACACTTGAATCTATTCCAGAGGTGTTGCTATGCAGGGAGTGTGACAGAACAATACAAAGAAGCTGGTGCTGACTTACTATACATTTTTAACCACAAAAGCTTTACACCCAGTATTGACAGTGAAGCATATCTAAAACTGGGAAATCTCAAAGGAATTTGCTGAACAGGTTTGTTTTGTACTTTTGTTTTGTTTTTAAAGCAAGGAAGACTACATAAAATGAATTTTATTACAAATATCTACTTTTTAGAAAGAACACATTACAAAATAAAAGGGTTTTACTTTAAAATACTGAACTAGTAAACATAAAAGAGTTCTATGTTTAAATTGACAAGTATATGGGGAGTAAGTATTGAATGGGATCGTTATTAACTGGGTAGAGATTCCTTACCACTTGAGGATTCTGTGACTTACACTGTAATTCCTATTGACAGAGCTTTACATATTAACATTGCTTGATACTAACATTCTCTATAAAGATAAAAAAATGGAAGTATCTCATTTTTATTGATTTCAGAGAGGAAGGGAGAGGGAGAGGTAGAAATATCAATGATGAGAGAGAATCATTGATCGGCTGCCTCCTGCATGCCCCACACTGGGGATTGAGCCCCAACCCGGACATGTGCCCTGACTGGGAATGGAACTGTGACCTCCTGGCTATATTACAGGTTGATGCTCAACCACTTAGCCACACCAGGTGGGTAGTCACAACTTCTTAAAGCAGGAAAATGTCCTAATACATGTTGGATTGGAATCTTTAACAAATTGATTTAAAAAGGAACACTGATATTCCACGTAAAACAAATTTTTTCCCCATGGCATTGTTTAAAATTTAACATGTTTTGATATACCCAATTTTAAAAATATTTACCCATATTTTATGATGTTAGTATATATATTGCATAAGTACCTTTTAAATATGTATTCTTAAAATTTAAAAAGTCAGTGGAGCCCTGACTGGTGTTGCTAAGTGGTTAAAGCATCGGCTCCTGAACCGAAGGGTTGCATGTTCAGTTCCCAGTCAAGGGCATTCACCTGGGTTGTGGGTTCCCTCTCTGCCTCAGCCGGGTGCATACAGTAGGCAACCAGTCAGTGTTTCTCTCTTGCATCGATATTTCTCTCTCTCTCCCTTCCTCCCTTCCATGCTCTCTGAAAAGCAATGCGAAAAACATCCCCAGGTGAGGATTTAAAAAAATAAAGTCAACGAAGTGTACAAGGATGTTTAACTTCCGAGACATTTACCCAAGATTCCCAAGTCACCTTATTCAAAAAATTTTTGTTTTTTTCTGTAGGGGAAAAAAAGTCAAAGTAGGTTCTAGAAACTATGCTTAGAGTCAGGAGTAAGCTTGTGCTGAGTTGTAGGCAGCAGTGTGCAGGATGGATGCCGACACAGATGGCAGGCATTTCAGGCCTCTACTGAATTAATGCTTTTGTCTTGCTGGTCAACCTTTTGTTGATTTAAACAAAGGCAAATTTTTGTGATACATTAGTTTTTAAAAAAATACTAATTTTTGATTCTTCAAGTACATGTTGACTTTTTCTATTTCTACGTTTGATTCCTTACAATGTTCTAAAATGGGACTTTCAAATGATTAAAACCTCAAAAGCTGATCCACCCAGGATGAACAAAGCATCACCAAGGGGAAAAAGCATTTTTTATCTTTATAGAAAACAAATGTTAAGATTATATATAGATGTATTCTTTACATTGGATATTGTATTAGAGTCCTCTTTACAGGAAATTAGTTTTAGCACTCTTAGCATTAGTGTTCCTAGATTGGTGTCTGTAGCTAGTTTTCAAATGTATAACCTGAAAATGAAGTTAATTTTGCATTATAAGAGCACACCACGATCTATGTAAAAAGTCTGTCCATTTGGTATATTTTTTTTAAAAAGAGAAGGCACTTTCATATTAACAAGTAGCATGTGTATTAATTTTAGATTTTCATATCTGTTGTGTCTGTATTCAGTGAAGTGAAATTAAGCATTCAGATGCTTGTTGATGGCAACATTAACTGTTAAATTAAAGCACCTTATATTCTGCTGCTTAACCTGACTTGTAATTGCACCTTTGTTACCTGCACATTTCACGTAGAACATTGTTGTAACATTGCTTCATGTGGGTCTGGATGAAGGTTAAGTGGGCCTACAGAATCATTTATTTATATTGTTTATAATTCAATAATATATTGTAGACCAGCTGTTAAGTTCATTTCTTTACTAATAAAAGCCTCTTCCATTTGGCTGGTCTATTGCATAATTTCTTTTTTTCTTTAAGCTTATGAGGCATGGGGGCTTTCTAAGTGAACAACAACAAAAAGCTTACTAAGGGATTTGAAATAGATACTTTCCTGATTTAAAATCTGCAGGGTTTTATTAAGTACGATTTATTTAAATATCGTAGTGCCATGTTATGGCCAATTAGAAAGCAATACATTCAGAGGAAACGTAACAGAGAAGTGAGAGGGCCAGGTTTAGACATGGACAGGTTGGACACTTCTATGTAATTCAACTGAATTCACAAAGTGACTTCAGATTATTTGTCATTCAGATTCCTTTATTCCTGTAGTTCTCAGCTGGGGCGATTTTGCCCCCATGGGAGGCTTGGCAATGTCTGGAGACATTTTGATTGTGAAGACTGGGGAAGAAGGTGCTACTGGTATCGAGTGGGTTGAGGGTAGGGATGCTACTAAATATTTCAATGCACAGGCGTTCTCCCCAAACAAAGAATTACCTAACCCAAAATATCAATAGTGCTGAGGACAGGAAACCCTGCTTTACTTTTACGATGTAGTTATGATTTGATATTGCAAGTGACATTTAAGTTATAACTGAAAAGGAATCTGGCATGGAGAGAGCCTAGTCACTACCAGTTCTGTAAGGTAAGCAACCAAAACTTAGCTTGCAGAAATATTTACATTAAGAACAAATATATATTTTTAAAATTAGCTACTCTTCCCCTATGTTAAAGAATATTTATACCGAATCATTTTAAGAAAACCATCTTGATTTTATTGCTGTGAATTAAATAAAAATGTTTATTTAAGTTTATATAAAAGTTGGCAGCGCATCTCAGATTTACATAACAGTTTGCATCCAGTAGTTTTTTTGGATAACAGAAACATCAGTATGGCCAAATGTTAACTCATTTCACTTCTATGTTAATATTTGTAACATGCAATTTTCCTGAACAGGTATAAAATTTTTTCCTGGAATTATTTTGTTTAAAAACGAACAAAGAGACAAATAATATCGTAGCCCCAAAATACACATTGAGGTGGTTGAGGGAGGCTTCAGTTCAGTTCAGTCTTTGTATGCCCTGAGTTATTCTTTTTCCTTTGAAAATACCACAGTTGTAAGTTTTAACATGGCAACATGTTAACAAATTATAATTGATGTAGGCTTTTCAATTTGCTCAGGATCATGAATTCCAAGTGCAATGAAGCAGCTTTTCCAGTTGACAAATGGATCCACAGGTAATGCAATGTCTCTTAAATTAAACTTGTGACATTTACACCAGTAAACCGTAGCAATGAGAAAACTATTGACAAAGTACAACCATGGAATGTTCATCTCAATATATGCTGGAATCTGTACTTTAAATAAAAGGATAATTATTTGAAGTAGTACAAATGGTAACCAGGTACCGAGAAAACAGACAATGAACTTGGGCAAGAGTGTTTTTTTAGAGTTCACAGTACAACTAGAATGGGATGAAAAGGGGAAATATAGGACAGTCTCATTCATGTAGGAAGTTACCCTAATAGCCTGTACCAAGGTAATAACTTCTGACCAAGAAGTGATGAAAGCCATAAATAAAATCATCACCATGAAAAATGAGAGCCAGTAACTTTGAATGCTGACGTAGAAAGGACATTGATAAGGATAAACATTCTGTGCCTTCAGGTTTTGGTAGATATCTGGATCTCCCAATACATAAGCAAATACTGAAATCCAAATCAAAATTACTGTAAAGAAATAAAATAATTTCTGACATTTAAATGGAAGGGTGGTTTTAGAAAAATTCAGATAATAATCTATCCATGCTATCAGGAAAACTGGATAATGCAAAAAGCCATAAGTAAAAGATATAATTTGAGTAAACAAGCAGATGTGGTATTTAGTAAACCTAATGTCTAAAAGTACAAAATCCCTGAAATAGGATATAATGGAAATGTTTACCAAAAGTAAAAGGTCCAGGAGTGCTAGTGAAATGCAAAAATATTCCATAAAATTTTGACAGGTGTCTTTTCTTCTCATTCCCAGTGTGAGGATATTTAATAATATTTTCCCAAGTATAATCAAGATTAGCAGACAGTTACCATCCAGGGGCTGACTTGTTTGATGTAACTGGTACTGAGAAGAGCAGTTCTCTGAAGCAAGCACAGTCATATTTTTAGTTAAACTTCAGAAGGCCTGCTGAAAGATAGACGATAAGATACTGCTTTGCTTTATTTTCCATCCCTGCAAAGTAAAGTGAAAAAGTCTTGTTGTTATCTTGATTCTATCTCTATTTTAAGACTTTATAAAACAAGCACTAGGATTCCCCAAATATAATTTAATCCAGTCATTTCCACAAATAATTATATGTATAAATAGGAATTTATGTTTCTCATAAAACTTATAGATGAAGGATTAATATGCATACTTTGGTCATTTTTTGAGACCCAGGTCGTTCAGAACTCTCAGATCTATAACCAAAATGTTACATATAAATTACTAAAACTTCCATATAAGTACATGTTTTAATAATGTGTAAAAAGATAAAATACTTTGTCCTACTGGAGTGAAAACACAGGCTTAGAATAGCAGCCTGCAGGTGGCATTCAGACAATCACTGATAGTTGTTAACCGAGTCTCACTCTGACTCAAGATGTTACCTCACCTGTCCCCCCTTTTGTCTCTTCGTCAGTGAAGTAGAGGTAATGTTTAAAGGGCCCTCTAGTCCAGCAGTTTTCAAACTGTTTTAACTGCAGGATCAACATTCACATTAAGTATCTGAAGTTCAGATATGGAACAGACTATTCAGCTGAAAATATTAGGAACCTTGGCAAAGGAAAGAAAGATTTATCTTCTGGGCATGATGTTTCAGGTGTGGCACCTGGAGAGATGAGAGAATACAGGGAAGGAACAGGGACCGAGTATGGATACCTGCGAACATTAGGAAGTGATAGGTAAAGGCAAAGGAACAGGAGTTGAAGCTTGAGTGATAAATGCACGTGGAGGCAGCAAAAAAGATAACATGGTGAAAGAGAAAGGTCAGAAAGGAAGAAATCAGGAAAGGATGGAAGAGAAGGAAGGAAGTTAGAGAAATTTATCCTGAAAATATGACCCAAAGATGTTTCTGCAAGACTGTTCAACCAAGTATTTCTGAGTAGCAAAATAAAACCAAACCCAAATAGTAACAAGTCCATCACAAATGTCAACAACTGGAGAGGGTTAAAATGATACAGTCCTTCCCTACAATGTACTATCCTGCAGCCATTAAAAATGTCAGCAGGAAGACTGTTTTCACTCCACCTTTCTATACTTGTTCAATGTTTAGCCTTATGAATATGTTACATGTTTAAAAATAATATAAATTTCCATAATATGTTTAAATGAATTGCAGGTTACAAAAGTATGTCATTACTTGTTAAGACATACATGCATAGAAAAACTTAGAAGGTACACATTGACTTAATACTATGTAGTATTATAGGTCTTTCTGAATTCCTCAAACTTTAAGGAAAAAATAAGTTGGGGAGTGTCAAGACTAAAAAGTGAAAAACTGAATTTGCTGAAAAGCAGATACCTGATTAAATAATTTCAAAGGAGTAATGAGGATATTGTCTGAGGAGAAAAAATTCAGTGGAAGAAAGCTATTAGTTCTATTAACTTGACAGAGTCCTAATTGAGAAGAGAGGCCCTGACATTTGAGTTCTGTGTTCATCTTATCACAGTCCAATTTTAGCAAGAATACTGCTTAGTCGGGTTAGTCAGCATGTCTCATCCTCAATATCTGATCTCCCTCGCTATCTGATCAGGTTCCTCATCTCTCACCATGCCCCAGGTGATGTCCAATCACCCAGACTACCTTCAGCAAGAATCCTGTTAGGGTTTAGCCAGAATCCCCTGACCCCTGATGTTTCCTTAGTAATATTCCATCTACTGACCCCACACCTTGCTTCTTGGCTATGAATTCCCACTTGTATTGGAGTGAAGCCCAGTCTCTTCCTGTCATTGCAGAACCTCATCATAGTGGCCCCTATACCTATTGCAGTAGTTCTGAATAAGGTCTGCCTTACCATTCTTCAACAAAGGTCATGAACAGTTTTTTCTTTAACATACTCATGGCCATAAATACACCAGTGTCGTAAACTCACATATCTATCTACACACACACGTGTATATATAAAAACAGTTTAAAAAATCATTCAATACCCATATTAATAACTATAGGTTTAAAAGAATCAATGAAACAAGTTCTCTTGTACATTGAAATTTTTTTCTATATTCAAATATATCGTGTAATTTAACTTGATGCTCTCCCGGAAAAGCTCCATTCCAGATTTGATATATGGTAAATAATGGCACAGAATCATGGTTTACCACCTTGACAAATGCCACTGGCTTTGTAAGTGGTGGTGCTTGGATAAGGAAGCATAGTTGGAATGATAAGACCACTTGAAGCCCTCCAGTGTCAAGAAGAAACACAAGCTGTTTTAAATAGCAAATGTTGGTTTGGAATGGAGGTGAGGAAGGAAAACAGTGTGGGTTCATATTTATGAAGACCCCCCCCCTTTTTTAAAGGTATTTTTACTATAAAATTTAAAAAGAATTATCTATATAAAATTATTTTATCCTTAATAACTGCAATGCAAATTAAATAAGCAAAGCTAAGGAATCCATGTTTAAATAGGCAATATCCAAGGGGTGTTTCCCAAGTTTCCATTGCATTACTGACTCTCACCGTGGGGCCCAGGGGAAGGCAGAAAAGCAGGCTACTCCCTGGAGGAGCATCTGGGGGGGCTATGGAAGGTCAGCAAAGGGCAGGAAGTGGAGGAGGAGGATCAGTTCCAGTCACCAAGGCAGTTCCCAGAAGCTCCTTAGAAGAGGACTGGAAGAAAGAAGACAAAACAAATCTGAGATGGAATATGTAAGAGAACCGTAAAGCTGGAAGGAACTTTAGAGATGAGGGAAGATATGCAACTTAAGGCAATATAAAGCAATCCACAAGTTTGAGCTGTTCTATAATGGTTCCCAAATATAATTATGGGAACTAAAACTTTCTGAGGTGATACCAACTTATACTCCATGTCCTCGATAAACCACTAAAATTATTCAAGATTCCAACATTTTGTTCTTTAAACCACCCCCTCCCCCCCCAGGACAAGACAAAAATCCTTTGTTAGGCTACCTGTCCCGAATTTTCCCTTGAAAAATGTTCAAATTAACTCCAAGGATTCAGTGATTTATAAGATACGGTTTTCTTGGGAAAAAAAAAATGTTTTAACTACTTATGAATCAACTCAAATTGCTTCATATACCACTTAAAAAGTTAACGTGGAAGTCCTTTTCAAGACATCTTTGGGTTTGCATTGTGATCTGACCGATTCAGAAGTATTAGCAGACCTGAAGGAAACAAACCATGATTTCTTTTCTGCTTTTCTAGTTATTACCAACCCAAATCTTAACAACACACCATACTTACTCTTTCTCCAGCAGGTCGTTCTCAGCTGATGATCTTCCTATTTTATTTCAGTTTAGTGCCTTCAATTAACTTACTTTTGGTTTCTGGCATACCAAAATGTCACATGAATAAGCTCTGTATGGAAGACCAAAAAAACCCATCATTAATAGCTACCTTAGTAACTGGAGTTCAATATAACTGGCTCCAGATCTCTGTTAGAAAAACTATAACTTGCACCCTAGCCGGTCTGGCTCAGTGAACAGAATGTCGGCCTGGGTTTGATTCTGTTCAAGGGCACATGCCCAGGTTGTGTGCCTCAATCCCCAGTAAGGGGCGTGCAGGCAGCTGGTCAATGATTCTCATCATTGATGTTTCCATCTCTCCCTCTTCCTCTCTGACATCAATAAAAATATATTTTTTTAAAAAAGAAAACGATAACTTTTTGTGGGATTAGAACCAGTAACTAATTGCTTATCTTTTTTCCAGCAAAAGGAAGAAAGGGAATACTTAGGTTGGAAGTCCACCAAAGACCGGAGATGTGGGTGCATGTAACATGACATCTATTTACAGAAATCTTGCTTACATTGTGGTTTTCACCTACAGGCTTCGGAGTCTGACCTCACAGTTCTCATAGTGTGATTACAGGACCTTTTGACACTTGTTGCATGGTAACATAAATAACATTTCTTAAAATGAAAATTTGCTGTTTTCCCAAACCAAAAAACTGAGTAAAGTGGCATTGTTTCACATCTCACAAATTGCTTGTGTCTGGCTCAATAGCAGACAGCTGAATCCTCACCTATATTAAATCAGGTGCAGTATCACATTTCCTGTAGCTTTTGGAAAGTCCTCTGTACATTGGAGTTTGAGAGAAAAAAAATAACTTTTTAAAAATAGGTAACAAATTAAACTTAATACAGTAACTTCATAGTATTATAATCAGATAGTTGTGCTATGCAACCTCTGAAAAGTTTAACAAAAAAACCATGTGCATGAAATAGTAGGATGGGCAGATGAAAAGTTAACATTCTGGTCAACGACTGTACAGAAAATAAAACTAGAACAGTAGCTGGATTTGCTCATCCTGAATGGAGAAAGCCTGTGGGAGAAATAATGTATTAACCCTTTGCACTCCGCTGTCCCCTCTCAGGGGACATCGGAATTCTAGCATATCACTCGGATGTCCCCTCTCAGGGGACATTGCAGTTTATTAGTGATTACGGGGAATTGAGTTATTTCAACGCAACTTTTTGAGACATGCATGTTTCCCTGAAGTTTTATCTTGAAATGGCACAAGAAATTAAATCAAAATATCGTAAAATTACTAAGATATATACAAGAAATGTCAGCGGGTTTTGTGTCGGATTAAACAATAAACTACATATTCCCAATGTGGGACAAAGAAAACGGGACTGCATTGTGTGTTCTAACAGGAAAACACCTGGTGGCAGGCGTCAAACCACTTATTACTGTCAAACATGCACTAATCAGCCTGCAATGCATATTGGGGAGTGTTACAAAACTTATCATACTGTACAAAATTATAAACAATAAAATATTGTTTTTTTTGCAAATATACATTCCTCGATGTCACCCAATTCATATAAGTCCAATATCATTATAATACGTTACTTGGTTCCAAAATTATACTAAATAATACGAGGGTCTGTAAATGCACGTTTCCGCTGCAAAGTAGCGTCGAGTAGCTGGTAGCCAATGTCCAGAATGGTTCGGAGTGCAAAGGGTTAAGTTTTGTCCAGGGGTTTTACATACCTTTCATCTTAATCCTTACGGCCATCCTGAAAAGTACGTATTATTTTTCCCCAGGAGGAAAAGGGCTTGGTGTTAACTAGCACATTTCCTGAGGTTGCATGACTGATAAGTGCTGGAGCTGAAGTGCAGTCTCAGGTCTGATTTCAAAATTTGTGATCTTCAGTAAGCCTCAATTATGGCTCCACTCAGGGCGAAATGTAGAAAGGGACCCAAGCACGGATGTGAAAGAGCTTTCCCAAAACGGTAATATCCAACTGAGTGACTATGTTGGTTCCTGGTACTCCAAGCCACAGCTAACTGACCTATTTGGATAATGTAGTTGTATTCCTCCAAAGGTAAATATAACTTTTTAAAAAATGTGGTCTTTGCTTGATATGTCAAAATTCAGTGAAAAAAAATAAAATGGTGTTCAATTGCCTGACAACTTTTAAAGAAATAGATGTTTTTCATTCATTTACATAGTATAGATTCAATATAGAAAATTAAGAAAATATAAGAAGTTTTAAGTTTTTAAAAAAATAGGTAATATTAATTTACATAGTCTAAAACTCAAGTTACAGAAAGTATATACAGTGAAAATAACATCCTACCCACTCTTCAACACCCCTCAGCCCCACTCACCACTATCTAGTCCCTCCGTAGGTAAAACCACTGTTACCAGTTACTTGTGTAGTTTTCAGCGATTCTAAAGCAAGCTTTTAAAAAGAAAATCACCGTTACCAGTTAAAGCAACTAGCGAGGGATTCTTGATTTGCCCTTTCCTAGGTCTCATATACATATTGATAGCATGTGATAAGGTAGAACACAACAAAATGTGAACCAGTGATCTGTCAGACCATAGGAGTAATTTCCACCCATCCAAACAAGGCTGGCCATCAGGAAGGTCACTGGGACCCGGCAGAAAGAGGGGAACTAGGGATTATCTCAGAGTTAGAAGATAGGTGTTCCCACCCCACCCCCACCCCCAGGGTATAGCATTACAGTGCTCACCCATACCTGCTGCTTCTCAGCTTCTAAGCCCACAGGAAGATTTTAGTTCCTTAACCCTTATAATTAGGTGGGGCCATGTGGCTATTTCTGGCCAATGGGCTGTGAGGCCAAAGCATTTACTTTCAGAAGAGAGCCCCCTCAGTGTTCTCTTCCCAGCCCAGGGAATAAAGAGGCCGTGTGTTCTAGATAGTACAGCTCAAGATGGCAGAGCCTCTGTCAACCTGGGTCCTTGAGTGACTGTGGAGCAAAGCCCCAGATGTGTAGTGTAAGAAATACAAGTTGGTTGTATTAAGCTGCAGGAATTTTGTGATTATTTTTTATGTCCTATCCTGACTAATACAATTCCTTATAATTCTCTGTACCCTTTGAAAAATTTTAATAGCTAGCATATAGTACCTTTCAGAATCTTAAAAAGCTATAGTCGAGCATTGGCTGGGTAGCTCAGTTGGTTAGAGCATCATTCCCAAGGTTTTGGGTTCGATTGCCAGTCAAGGCACATATAAGAATCAACCAGTTAATGCATACTTAAGTGGAACAACAAGTCAATGTTTCTTTCTCAAATCAATAATAAAAAAAATGTTCTATTTTTAAAAAGCTATAGTGGAAAAATAATCTTTGAAAAGCAACAATGCAAGTATTACAAAATTGGTAAAATCAAAATCCAATTTTAATTTCCAGTACATCTTTTGCACTGTTTTGTTCTGATCTTATTTGCCTATAATGGAAAAGAAGGTTTTGATTCAGTGAACTCAGTTTACACCTTAAGGCAGGGATCCTCAAACTACGGCCCGCGGGCCACATGCAAATACAAATATTGTATTTGTTCCCGTTTTGTTTTTTTACTTTAAATAAGATATGTGCAGTGTGCATAGGAATTTGTTCATAGTTTTTTTTTAAACTATGCTCTGGCCCTCCAACGGTCTGAGGGACAGTGAACTGGCCCCCTGTTTAAAAAGTTTGAGGACCCCTGCCTTAAGGGAAAGAAGGGTGAATTAAACCCAAAGTAACAGAAGTATATAATATAGAGCAGAAAACAATGAAATTTTTAAAACAACAGAAAAATCAATGAGCCAAAAGCTGGTTCTTTAAAACAAAAAAAACAAAATTGATAAACCTCCAGTCGAACTAAGAAAGAACTTACTAAAATTAAGAAAGATAGGACCTTACTACAGATCTCATAAACACTATAAAGATAATAAGGGACTATAATGAATAACTTTATTCCAATAAATGAGACAACTGTGATGAAGCATTCTGAAAAGACACTAAAACTCTTTCAAAAAGATCCCTAAAAATCCCTATTAAAGAAACTGATTTTGAACTTAAACACCTTCCCACAAAGAAAACTCTAGGTCCAGATATCTTCATTGATGAATTCTACCAAACATTTAAGAAAGAAATACCAAACTTAAAGAGAACAAAAGAGGATATAAAGAGACAATTCACACACAAAAAGGACAAATGGGCTATTATACATATGAAAAGGTCAGCATCACTCATAAAAAATTTTAAAAACCCAGAAATTTAAACTACTGCTTGCCTTTCAAGAGGCAGGGTGGTGGACGTTGCCACTGCTGACCACCTACTGGGTGATCAGCCCCAAGGAGAAGGGGAGATTTCATTTAGCATGTTCAGCAGTGTTGCCAGTCTCAATCAGCTGCATGTCACTCGGGAGTTCAGCAGTGCCCCTGGAGATCAGTGGTGATGACTAAAACCTCAAGGAGGGGGTCTTCTTGGGCCCTGACCAGTGTTCTGGGCAGGCACAGTGACTTTACATGAGGCCACAGCACGAGCACAGGCAACAGCTGACACCTTATTGGCCAGCAGCATGTCGCTGCTCTCAGTGAGGGAGCTCCTTCTTGGTGAAGGCAAAGCCCACCTTCCCCCGGATGTGAGACAACAGTTTCTCCAGAGCTGGGCGGTTTTCCGGATGCCCCCGAATGGCCTTGCTCCATGGTGTTCCTGTCCGTCTGGCCCACAGCCTTCCCAGGAGGGGCATGCGGGTCTGCAGCATCTCTCGGAGCCCACATTGTCTGCTCCCACAATGAGGCATGTTGGATAATCAGCCAGGAGCTGGATGATCCTAAGGAAGTTGTTGGACTCCCAGGTCACCGTCTTCCCTGGGCAGCATGGCAGTGCGTCAGGGATTGCCATGCAGGGTTTAAAGACGATGCCACTCTCACGAGGACACCTAGTGAGAGCGACACACTGACACTGTCGAACATTCTAGTCCAGTCGTCTTGTAGAACACTGCACAGTCTGGATTTGTCCATGTAATTGTTGCCTCATATTAGATAAGTGTTTTCCGCAAGAATACTATCTGAATTATGCATCTCGTTATGTCAGTTTGTCTCATTACTGGTCGCATGAAGTTAGATCACCTAATTAAGGAGTTGTCTGCCATATATCCCTGTATGGTACCTTTTGTAATCAATAAGTAATCTCCAGGATAATACCTTGAGACAGTTAGACTATGCTCTTCCACAGCAAAGTTTCACCAAATAGATTTAGCATCCATTTATCACCCTTGCCTGAACCAATTATCCTGGGAATTACAAAACAGTGATTTTCTAATTCTATGATTCCTTCTGCTTTTACACGCTAGCAATTTTTCCCCTGGATATATATTATGGATTCATGGACTTATTTTTAATCATTGCCACCCTTATTCTTTTGAATGCCTATTTCCAAACTCATCGCGTAGAGTTCTTTCAAGCTGGTTCCTGGGTTCTCTTGACATTTCCAGTCTTTAAACACGTTTGTGGAGCCAAAAGGGATCTGATATGTCCATCCCGGACTGTTACATGAGAGAAATAAACTTGTACTGGATTTGAACCATTACATTTTTGGTTTGTTTTTACAGCATTTTAGCCCACCCTCCTTAATACAAAATACTTCTAATTGTTCTTTTTCAAAGCCCTCCCCTCTTGCTGCACATGTCTCTGTTTCTATTGTAACATTTTTAGCCACCGTGAGCCTTCACTGTGTCTTTTGCCTACTCTCAGTATCATATCAGTATTCTTAATCAGACTTATGGCATGCAGTATTCTGCATATAGAGTATTACAGTTACTGATGGCTCGTGATTTACCATGGCCCAGGGGCCTTTCCTGCCAGGAACAGGCACAAAGCCAGTCATCTCCATTTTAAACTTCCTACTTACAAAATTAATTAGCCTTCATTTGACTTTGTCCAATTTGTAAGTACCCAATTTATCCAGGTTATTTTGATTTTTATTCCTAGTATCTCTGGCATACAAACAAACACACACAATAGATCACTGGTCATGCTTAAAATTGATGAAATAGAACTGGGCCCCAGGCTAACCTCTGCAAGGTTAACAGCTGTCCCACACCAACACTCTAAAAATATATATGTATCCTTTACAGTGCCTTTGTGTGACCGTTCCACCATCTAACTATGGTATCATCTGAGCTAAACTGTGTTTCCCTGGGGCACAGGCGATTATATATCCTTAATTATATCAATGGCATGAGAGCGTCAAGACATATGTGTCCTGCTTCCTCCAGATCCTTACAAACTTCTTGAAGAAATTAGGTTACACTGATATGAATCTGTTTTCCATTCACTACCATTAATTTTTACCCATGCCCTATGTCTGCTTGCAAATTAATATACCGGTGATGTATATTTTCATACAGCCCTCCCTCACAATGTAATGATACCTTCTTACTACAAATTGTGTATGTGTGTGTGTGTATGTGTATATATATATATATATATATATATATATATTTTCATAATTTTGGTGGGAACAGATCATTAATATAAGTATAATGTTCAGAATGAAGAAGAAAAGCATCCCATACCTCGTACTAATCATTCAGATTTTGCTACCAAATTTTAAGACATCAATAATAGGAATATACCTAAATAAGTCAATAAGTATGGGAAAAGGGTTCATAAGAAAAATAAAGAGTTATAAGAATTGTAGTTGTTCAAAAGTAGAATGTGTAGTAGTTTGGAAGCTAGTGTTTGCACCAGCACCAGAAAAGTCCAAAGACATATGCTTAACAAACATGCTCATAAAAGAGGTTTAACCTTCAAAGGACATTTGAACTAGAGATGCTTCCTAGTTCTCAATGATTATCATCAACTTTAGTCTTGCACTTAAGTCAAGGAAGGGGTGTAGCATACAATGACTTAGAAAGTATCAATCAGAAACTGGCTCACTAGTTCCTGGGACCTCACTCGCAGTCCCAACCCACTGAACACCGCTCCTGGAATGACTCAGCACCGGAGATGACAACACTGCTCAAGTTCATTTGTTTGTAGTTTCCAAAACTACAAAGCTCTGTTTGTCATTTCTGAGAAAGTTATATATTGGAAAATATATATGTCTCCTCAGATCTATTTCCTTAAAGCGTATGATAGAAGTTTCAAAGATTATGTTTTGGGGGACAGGTAGGCAGGCCACTTAAGTCAAACAATTCTACTTAAATACATGCGGTGCTTTTTCGTTTATAAAATGTTTCATGGTTAAGTATTAGCACTGAGGAATAAAGGCCTTTTCCCGAATTGGAGGTGAGGAGAAAGTGCTAGTAGGTGAAAAAGAGACATAGTCATATGAACAAAATAAAGGAAAACAAACCCTAGGTCATCTTGAGAGCTGCAGGA